AACTGCCACTTAATAATAAATAGCGGGAAAACAGTTATTAGAAGCATATTAGTCTACAAAAATGGATAGAGGTGAAAACATATAATGCAATTTTGACTAAATAATATGTAAGTCTCTTAGGGTGAGTTTGGTTGAAATAATGGATTGGGCTTGATATAATCCTTTTTTATTGTTTCAAAGGCTATCCATTTGTTTAGTTAGCACATTAACTTGTTTGGTTTAGAATTGGAAATTATATCTTTTATGTTGAAAATACTTTTATACCCCCCATTTAAAATTAAATTTTCCAAATGAGTCCACTAGATTGAAAAAAACTGGAGCTCGGGTAAAGAAAATGGCGAATCCATCTCTTACGCCTTTTTCAATCAAAACGTTTGAGCGTCTGAAACCTGACCGCGAGCAACTCATTGCCCTCCGTCGACCCTCGGTTGTTCTCTTGCCTCTAGTACCATCGTAATTTCTGCACCTCGCCGACCACCAGAACGCGCACAAGCGGGAGAGAGCCGCTACCAGGAAATCGCTCATGGACGCCGGCGGATTCCCCTGACGCCGCCAGCGAGATCAACGGACCAAGAAAGTTGGCAGATCTGAAAATTAAAAAAAAAAATGAAGGGAAAAGGTTAGGGCCGATCTGAAATTTACCCCTAAGCTTAATTGAACCAATTGAACTCACATTCAAAGAGGACTACAAGCTTGGGCTCGACGAAATAAATGCTTAATATCTACATATCTAAGGGCCTGTTGCTTTACGAAAAAAAAAGAAAGAAAAAAAGAAAAAGAAGATGATGAAGGAAGGGAAGGGTTATCTTGCTGGTGCTCGCTACACAAATTCACGAGAAAGAAAATAATGAATTAGGGTTATTTTTGTAAATTTAACTAAAAAAGAAAGTGGGATAATACATCCCACCTATGAGGTGGGATACACAATACTAAAAGTTGGTAATAATTGGTCGGGCCCTTTCATTTTAACGGGCTTGAACTGCCCCAACCAAACAACTTTACAGACATGAAATAATAACAAGCATCATGATATCAAGCACAATCTGGCCAACCAAACGGACCCTTAATGTAAACAATTTTTAATAATAGATAAGAGGCGTCAATCTTTCATTGCTGTAATTATTCAAGAAACCCAAGAATGGGCAACTTACAACCTACGGCCCGTATAGCCCAATGCTATTTGCTTAAATTACTGGACAACACTCGAAGCTCCATCTGGCCCGGTCTACATCCTATTCTATAGTGTTACCATTTTGGTAGAGTTTTTATTTTTTA